TTGGAGTCAACGGTAATGGGATAGGTACAACAACAAATAGCAATGAAACCACAACTTGTGGTGTTGAATGAGTAATGGTGTATTGAATAGACTTTCTAAGGTTCGCAAAAATCAGACGCCCTTCTTCAATACCCTTCACTGTAGAGGCAAAGTTATCATCCATTAAAATCATAGCGGCCGCCTCCTTAGAAACATCAGATCCAGATTGATTCATAGCGATCCCTAAATCGGCTTTCTTTAAAGCAGGTGAGTCATTTACGCCATCACCAGTTACTCCTACGATATGACCAATAGATTGTGCACGTTTGACAATTTCAAGCTTATGACGAGGAGAAGTACGTGCAAAAATAATTTCAGTTTTAGAAAAGATATTATCCCAATCATTATTACTTAAGGAATCTATCTGTTCGCCGTGAATGACAATAGCGTTGTATTCATCCTCACGGATTGATTCAATAGATCGACCAGTTTTTTTAACAATAAGTTCTTTAGTGTCTGATAACACTAAATTAATTTTGCGTCCAATAGCCTCAGCGGTTAAAGGATGATCACCAGTCACCATCATTACCCGAATACCGGCTGTACGACAACGGCCAATAGCTTCACGAACTCCATGCTTCGGAGGATCTTCCAGTGAAGCTAATCCAACAAAACAATAATCACCTATTGGGTAATTCTTCTTCTCTTTTTTAAATTCAAAACCTTCATGGTATGGATCAGCTGGTAACAATAATTGTGCAAAAGCCAAAACTCGATGTCCTTTTGAAGCCATAAATTCATAAATCTCGTCATATTTCTTTTTATGTTCGTCAGTCAAAGGAATTGCATTCTCATCTGACAATATTGTTGTGCAAAGTCTAAGTACGCGTTCAGGTGCTCCTTTGATATACAAAGTTAGATCACCCTTGTTATGTTTCTTCTTATGAATCGTGAGTGCCCATTTTGTTTCAGAATTGAAAGGAATTTCGAAAACTTTTGGGTATTTCCTAATAAGTTCATCATAATCATCTACATTTTGAGCGGCGAAGCGTATTAACCCTGTTTCGGTAGCGTCACCAAGGATTGAACGCTCAGCGAATGGAATGTCGGTACGATCAAATTTAGCACGGGAGCATAATGAAGAAATATGAATAATTTCTTGAATACCAGGTGCATTTGGATCGAAAGGAGTATTTTCAGATTGCATGTTTCGAAATGCTGAATACATATTTAAAGAAGACCAAATATAAGTTACAGTCATTTGGTTTCTAGTTAAAGTACCGGTTTTATCTGTAGCCAAAAGAGTAATCGCTCCAAGTGTCTCAACACCTTGAAGATCTTTTACAAGTACATTTTGTGCTGCCATTCTCTTTGCTGCTATAGTCAAAAGGACTGTGACAGTAGCTGGCAACCCTTCGGGAACCCATGCAACAAGTATGGAAATGGCGAAACTAACATTAAGAGCAACACTATTATATACACTAAAACCAACTCCAAAAAAAATAAAAGCACAAATCAAGGCAATAGTAGCTATTAATTTTACGAAATCATCAATTTCTTGTGCTAAAGGTGACTTGTTCTTTTCTTCTCCTGCGGTAAGACCGGCAATTTGACCCAATACAGTATGATCGCCAG